ACCCTATGGGGCAGTTCTACTCTGTCCTATAGGATTACTAGGAGTCTGAATCCACTTGATGGCAGTTGGTAATATGGCTTACTATAAATTAAAATTATATATAATTTTGTCAGTTGTCTATTTTTGTCAATTAATACTTAGTTTTATTCATTTTTATAAATATCATTCAAAGATCACTGTGCTTGTAGGGATTATCAGGGAGGAGAATATAGGTAGTGCCTGATTTAGGACAATGTTCCGTTCCAGTGACTCCATTTAAATTGATTCTGACATCTGTTGAATCCTTTTTTTTCTTCAGTTTTCCTTATTTCTGCTTTTATTATCAATATCTTTATAAATCTGATCTTTGAACATCTGCACATGAACAACTGAGAAAGATAACATCAGCGAATTATGTGCTACAACAACAAAAAATACTCAAGACAGTTGTAAGCATGGTTTGTCTTAACTCAAATACGTATTAAGTTGGGGACTATGTATTCTGACTCTTCACATACTTATACCTTCTTCCCTGTGTTGGGTACAGAGGAAGGAGAGTAAAAAAGACAAAGATGTTATTATTCAACTGGGTAAAGTTATCCCTTTCTCTGTTTAGGTGGTGGCTGTCTCTTTGGCTAACGCTGGCTATTTTTTGTCAGGCATTTAGATGCTGATTCACTCATGAGGCCATGAAGGTTCTTCCTGACTTCACCTATTGGGAGCTCACTGGCAGCTCTGTGAACTTAGAACATGTGGTATTAGACTCTTTTCTGCTTGATTTAGACTTTAGCTACAGTTTTGGGACTACAGGGAACTCCCATTCAACATCCTATGAAATTTATTTTAAAGTCAATGTCTCATAGTTCAGAAAAGTAGGAACAGTAGGAAAACAAACAGGTTTTCTTTCTGAAAAGCATATTGAGTGATGCAGGTATTTTCAGAGCATCTCTCAGTGCATAGTTTTCGTACTCCCGATTTTAGGTTTGTATCCTAAAATAATTTAACCCCTAAGAAACTGCATCTTAGCATATCACTGTGGAGCTGTGCTAGATGTTCTATTTAAATTGAAATAATTTAAATTTGTCTTAATGGAACTTAAATTAAAAATTGAGTTTCTCAGTTGCACTAGCCACATTTCAAGTACTTAGTTAGCTACATGTGGGTAGTGATTACCGTATTGGATCGCACAAAACATTTCCATCCTTAAGTTGACAATGGTTATGGATGAGAGTTGTGCAAAATGAATGATGATATATCACTAAATTGTATTCCTAAAATATGTTGAATTTGCAAATGTCATGCTATATATATTATAATAGAAAAAAATTCTATATTGAACAAAATTCAAAATCATTTAAAAAAAGCCCAGACTTACTGGTCTGACAGAAACTGGTAGAACCCCCCACCCCTGAGACTGTGGTCCTTAGGCACCCTTCAAACCTGGAACTGAACCTACTCCTGGGAAATCACCTTTCTGCCAAACAATAGATGAACTTATAAAGTTTGTGGTACCCATAAGGAGCATAATACTCAGAATAATCAACCATATGAGACCAAAGAAAAAAAGCATTTGTCTAAAAACAAACCTCGGAAGGCAGGAAGGAGTAGGAAAGAAGGAAGCATGGAAACATGGAACCCCCAGCGGGGAAGTGGGAAGAGTGCTGTTACATTGAGGAGATTGCAACTAATGTTACTAAATAAAAAATGTATGAATTACTGAATGAAGACCTAATTTGCTCTGTAAATGTCCACCGGAACCACAATTAAAAAAAAAAATTACACCAGTGAAGAAAGTTCTATTGGATAGTGCTTCTCTGGTGGCGTAGTGCCTAAGGCACTTGACTGCTAACCAGAAGGCTGGCGGTTCCAACCCACCAGCCACTTCTTGGAAGGAAGATGGGGCAATCTACCTCTGTAGTGATACTGCCTCAGAAACCCAGGGAGGGGTGGTATGAGTTGGGTCTGACTTGATGGTACATAACAACAAGAACAGAGGATAAACCAAAAAAAACACACTCATTGCCATTGAGTTGATTCTAATTCATAGTGACCTCCATTGGGTTTCAAGGTTGTACATTTTTATGGAAGCAGACTGCCTTTTTTTATTCTGCGGAGCAGCTGATGAGTTCAAACCATAGACCTTGTGATTAGCAGCCAAAATGCCTTAGCCTCTACACCATTAGAGCGCCTGTTCTCTAGAGGATTGTTGTTATGTGCCATCCAGTCGCCCCCCCCCCCAACTCATAGCAACCCCTCCTTGGGTTTCTGAGGCAGTATTACTACAGAAGTAGGATTACCCAACCTTCCTTCTGAGGAGTGGCTGGTGGGTTTGAACCACCAGCCTTCTGGTTAGCAGTCAAGTGCCTTAGGCACTGTGCTACCAGAGCTCCTTCTCTAGAGGATAGAAGTGAGAAATTTTTCTTACATAAGGAAGTCAGATATATGACAATCATATATACCAACTACTCTCTTACTATTTTACTGTGCTTGTTTCTTTCCTAAGAGGGAAGTATGTGAAAGGAAGAAATGTTGACCCACTTCTATGTAAGTTACTGCTTTCAAATTGACCTGATATTTAGCTTTTTTTGTGTGAAAGTTTCCAATAACTGATAGCATAAACATGGTAGACAGCAGGATTAAGAGTGCAAACATTTCCAACCAACAGAGACAAACTCTCCCCAGTTCATCTTTCCTATTTCCCTTCCCTACTATTCCCTCATTCCTCAGATGTAGATTGGCACAACTCTAGTCCTCAGAGAAGATATGACTAGCATAAGTAATAAGGAGCAGATATTTGTGTTTATATGTTTGTGTGTATGTGTACAGATTTTGTAGAAGTGACTTAACTTTTATTATTTTTCACCAAGCCCTTAGATACCATTTATTGATTGCCTACCCACATTTCTTTTGAGTAGGATGAGGCTAGAGACAGTGATTGTCCAAGAGCATGAGTAGTTAATGGTGGACCTGTGATACTGTGCTGCTCACCCACTTTTGGTATATTGCCTTTACCTTCACTCAAATCATATATCTCTTATCTAGTTAGCAGTTTTCTCTCCCCTCCTCTCCTAGTCCTGATAAGCAACAAAGTAAGTTTCTTTCCATGTATAAATCTTTCCTTGACTTTTTACAATAGTGAACTAATACAGTATTTGTCCTTTTGTGACTGACTTATTTCACTTAGCATAATGTTCTCTAAGCTCAAGTTATGAGGTGTTTCGCAGATTCTTCATTATTCTTTAATGTTGCATAATAATTCCATTGTGTGTAGTATGTACCGTAGTTTGGCTAGCCATTCATACGTTGATGGGCAGATAGGTTGTTTCCATCTCTTTGCTGTTGTGAATAGTGCTGCGATGAACATGAGTGTGCATATATCTATTTGTGTCCCAGTTATCACTTCTTTAGGATATGTACCTAATAGTGGGATTGCTGGATCAAATGGTATTTCTATTTCCAACTTTTTAAAAAAGTGCCATACTGTTTTTCGCCATGGTTGTACCATTTTACATTCTACCAGTAGTGTTTCAGAGTTCTAATCTCTCCATGCTCTTAGCACCATTTGTTGTTTTCTGTCTTGTTGAACTTCACTATTTTTGCAAAGTTAATGGCTCATTGTTGTTTTGATTTGCATCTGTCTGATAGCTAATGGGCTCTGGTGGCACAGTGGTTAAGGCATTTGGCTGCTAACCATAAAGTTGGTGGTTCAAACCCACTAGCTGTTCCATAGGAGAAGATGAGGCAGCCTGCTTCAGTAAAGATTTCAGCCTTGGAAACCCTTTGGGGCAGTTCTACTCTGTCCTATAGGGACATCGTGGGATAGAATTGACTTAATAGTGAGTAAAGTCCCTTGTCAGATATGTCATTGCCAAATATTTTTTCCCAATTTATAAGTTCTCTTTTTATTCTTTTGGAGAAGTCTTATGATGCATACAACAATTTAATTTTCAAAGGTCCTAGTCATCTAGTTTATTTTCTGCTATTTGTGCATTTTTGGTTATGTTTAATAGTCCATGTATGTCGTAAATTAGGGCCCCTAAGTTTGCTCCCATTTTTCCTTTGATGGACTTTATATTAGGTTTCACATTTAGGTCTTTGCCCATCTTCAGTTCATTTTTATGTATGGCGTGAGGTATGGATGGATCTTGTTTCATTTTTCTGCAACAGGATATCCAGTTTTGCCAGCACCATTTGTTAAAGAGACTGCCTGTTCCTCGTTTAGTGGATTTCGGCCTTCTGTCAAAGATCAGCTGGATGGATCTATTTTTGGATTCTCAATTCTGTTCTGCTGGTCTGTGTGTCTGTCCTTGTACCAATAGCAGGCTGTTTTTATTACCATGGATGTGTAGTAGTTTTTGAGATCAGGGAGTGTGATACGTCCTACTTTGTTCTTCACTTCACAAAGTAAGTGCTTTGCTTATCCCAGATTGCTTCCTTTTCCATATAAAATTAGGGATTGGTTTTTCCACGTCCATAGTGGGTAGCTTTAAAGAACAGAAATTTATTGTCTCCCAGTTCTGGAGGCTAAGAGTCCAAATTCAGGGCACTGTCAGGGCTACGTTCTCTCTGTCTAGCCCAGAGGAACATTTTTCCTTGTCTCTTCCAGCTTCTGGTAGCTCCCGGCATCTCTTAGCATTCCTTGGCTTGTAGATGTATCTTCACATGGCTTCTGCTTTTCCCCCGTGAGTCGATGTCGCCATGTCTGTTATGCTTTTTTATAGTCATCACTCAGAAAGGATTAGGACCTACCCCACTGTGATATGAACCAGTTAACTGATAGCATCTTCAAAGAAAATACCTATTTCCACATGGTCACAGCCACAGGTATAAGGGTTAGAACTTGATCATATGTTTTTAGGAGGATGTAACTCAATGCATAACCACTATTAACTGTTGCTATAGATAAAATAACAAGGAGTTTTAAGGTGAGAATAGTTAACTGTTATAATGGATTTCTTACTATGTAAAAAAATACTGCTTTTTATATATTATAAAGGATTTGGTAATTGTAATCTTTCCAGATTGAAGAAGAGGAGAGGAAAAAAATAGAAACTTTGAAAGAAAATGAACGAATAAAAGCAACTGAAGAATTGGAAGCCTGGAAAGAACATCAGAAGAAAGCTGAAGAACAAAAATATATACAGAAAGAAGGGAAATTACATCAACAAGAAAAGCAAATTAAAGAAAAGAAAAAAAAATTAAAGAATAAAAAAAGTCTTACTGGAAATTTGGCATCTAGAAATCTTACCACAAATGGTATAGTTATTTAATATTTTCTGAAGAAGTGAGTCCTGTTGGTGCAGTATAAATGCCACCCCTCCCTTTTTTTAAGAAAATATCTTTGTAGCATTGGGTCATTATTTTGGTGCACTGAGAATAAGTAATACAATACGAAGACTATAGTGAAAGACTCATTTCTTCTTCTAGGAAGTACTGAAATTTTTGTAAGAGAATAAGCAAAGATTCACTGTCTTTTTTTGATTGGGTATTTCCTTTTGAAATTTATTTGGACATTGCTAAATTTGTGATTTCCTTATGACTAGGTCCAAAAGGACTTGGATTGGTCTAACAGTACTAGGAGCATTTATTTATTCCTTTAGAGCTAAGAAACTAGGAGTTTCATTAAAAGACTCATTTCCTCACATAACTCAGGAAAATGAGGGCTATAAAAGCGAATTTAAGGTTTTATCCTTGGAAGTCTCCTTGGAAGCAGGTTGGGACCTGGCTGCTTCTGGCTCTTTCATCCTGGTATATTCAATATAGGTAAAATAGTTCTTTATTGAAAGCTATGAGTTTGCTTTCATCTGTTTTATAATATTACCCTTTGTTTTGGGTATATTTAGTATTTTCTTTTTATAAGTAAATTATTATTAAATTCCTATACATGGAACATTTTATGGTAAAATAACTTTTATAATAATAAGAAAGATAATAATGACCATTTATTGGGTGATCACTATATGCCAGGTGATTTTATACGTCACATCATTCAGTCCTCATTACAACACTTTGAGATAATTCTGTTATACTAATTTTAGAGGAAGTAGGTAGATAGTCAGGCAGGATAAATTACTACCCCAGAAATAAATCTGTGGGATTGAACCCAGATCCGTCTGCATTTGAAACTATACTCTTCCACTAGGCTCTATGTCTACTTTAACAGTGAGGCTGGGAGTGTTGAAAATCATGGTGTGCTGTTCTTGTTATGTGCAGTCAAGTCAGACCCAACTTATAGCGACCCCTCCTTGGGTTTCCAAGGCAGTATCACTACAGAAGTAGATTGTCCAAACTTCCTTCCGAGGAGTGGCTAGTGGGTTTGAACTGCCATGTAAAGGGAATATTAAGTGAGAACCATTATTTATTTATATATATATTAATGTTGTTTAATATTGAAATGCTAATTAAGTTAACCACCACACTATGTCTTTCTTTAATACCATTTCAACAAAATTGAGACTATCACGAGTATATGGAAACATTTCTTTCCATATTGCAAGTACTGCTAAATAAATTGGATGTTTTCAAATACTGTTGGAACCAAAACACAAATTAATAGATAAGGAGTGTCCTAAAGATATTTAAAAAAAAAATTATTTGTGGAAATAAGGGAGATTACACATAGTGCAGGGGGAAAGAAAGTAATATTTTTTTTTTTCTCCAGAAGTAGTTCATTAGCATTATCACACATGCCCAATTAGGTTGGATCCTTTCTTCAATCATATCCATTCATTTAACAAATATTTCCTCAGTATCTGTACTGAAAAAAAAAAAAAATCCCAAAAAACCCATTGTCATTGAGTTGATTTTTACTCATAGTGACCCCCATTGGGTTTCCAAGGCAGTAAATCTTTACAGAAACAGATTGCCCTATCTTTCTTCCATGGAAAGGTCAAACCACTGACCTTTTGGTTAGCAGCCAAATGCCTTTACCACAGCACCATCAGGGATCCTTAGTATCTGTACTTAAAACAACAACAAAAACAAAAACCCACGGCTATCGAGTCAATTCTGACTCATAGCAACCCCCATTGGGTTTCCGAAGTGGTAAATTTTTTACAGAAGTAGGTTGCCCTGCCTTCTTTCTGCAGATTGCCTGGTAGGTTTGAATCACTAACCTTCTGGTTAGCAGTCAAATGCCTTAGGCACTGCACCACCAGAGCTTCTTAGTATCTGTACTAGGAGTTATAAAGTACACAGATATGACTTAAAGTATGGCCAGTAACTTCAAAGGATTCATTTACCTGAGATTTGTAAATAATTTCTTAAAAAAACCCTCACACCTGGGTAAGATGGCAGAATAGGCAGAAAAGCTACACAGACCCTCTTCAACAAAGGAGAGAGGAACCAATTGACAGAGATACAGAAGATAATCCTGGAGCCCTGAGCTTTGAAAGGAAGTATACAGAACTGGATCAGGTGCCAACTAGTAGAAGAACCTGAATGAGAACAGTGAGTACGGAGATGGATGGAGCTGTGGATTGTTAGCTACTCTGATGGCACCAACAGGCTGAATATTTCCAAGTGGTACTGGGACCTGAGAATTGACCTAAAGATCAGCTGTGGTCGTCAAGGGCTACAGGGATGATTGTGCTGGTGGCCTGTGACTAGAAATGGAAACAGCAAAGAGGGAGACAACCTAAATTGTGGACTGTTGGCTGTCTAGAGGGTGCAGCCATTTTGAATGTTTACAAGCTGTGATAGTTGGAGTTGTGTGTCAACTCAGCTGGACCACAATTACAGTGGTTTAAACAGTTGTGATGTGGGTTATTGCCGTGATAAGATCAGATGTGTATGTTCTGAGCAGCCACTTGGTTGAAAGGGAGCTTCCCTAGGGGAGTGGCCTGTTTCCAATATGTTTATGGACATCCTGGGAAAAAGAGACACTCTTCTGTGGATCAGGATCCTGTTGTGCTGCCTACAACTGTCCTTGAGTGAACAATCCACCATTTGGCTTGGAGATCTTGGATTCATCATTTGTTGGAGTCAACAGCCAGTATTATGTTGTTGTTGTTGTTATGTGCCATCAAGTCAGACCCGACTCATAGCGACCCCTCCTTGGGTTTCCGAGGCAGTATCACTACAGAAGTAGATTGCCCAACCTTGCTTCCGAGGAGTGGCTGGTATACTGTCTGCCAACCCTGAGCTCATCAGCCCCTGCAGCTGTGTGAGTCAGGAGAAGCCTGCAGCTTGACGTTTGATCCAAGAACTTGGGACTTGCCAGCTTCTATAAGTGCGTGAACCACTTTCCTAAGATAAATTTCTCTTTTTCTCTCTCTATAAGCTTCACTGGTTTTGCTTCTCTAGAGAACCCAGCCTAACATTTGGTACTGAGAGTGGTTCTAGAGAGACAAAATCATAATGATGGGCTTTCTCTCTCCTTTGTTGAAGAGGGTCTGTGTAGCTTTTCTGCCTATTCTGCCATCTTACCCAGGTGTGAGGGTTTTTTTAAGAAGTTATTTACAGTGAGATTCTGATTTTGTTCTCCAATTTACTTAATCATAAAGGTACTGGTGACTCTGCCTCTATTAGTAAAGAGGGCCCTGCTAATCCATGGTGTGAAGTGGCAACATTATGCAAAATAGCACCACTAATAGATCAAGTATTTTTGAGAAGTGAGGCTCTGGGTGATTGCATATTTGAAACTTTTCTGCAGTTTTGTCAGCATGAGGAGAATAAGGAAGCTGATTGGTTGGTACTACTTATGCTAGACAAAATGATGAAAGAGCGAGATGAGTTCAGGGCTGCTGAGTCACAGCTCAAGTGCTGCATAAAAAACCTCAGTGTTTCCAGTTGTGCTCTGAAAGAAAGCTTTATTTATTCTAGTTACAGAGCTGATATTGCTGAAAACCAAACCCAGAGTCTTATTGTAAGGGTGGCTGAATTACAACGCCAATTGAATTGCCAACCCAGAATGGTGTCTGAAGTTAAAGTGAGGGCATTGATTGGGAAAAAATGGGATCCTGAAACCTGGAATGGGGACATATGGGCAGAAAAAAAATAGACTAAAGATCAAAGGTTGGAAAAAGATATATCAAGCAAATGGCAATCATGAAAGAGCAGGAGTGGCAATATTAATTTCTGATAAAATTGACTTTAAGACAAAAACCACCATAAGAGACCAGAAGAACATTATGTAATGATTAAAGGATCGATTGAACAAGAGGACATAACAATAATAAATATCTGTGCACCAAAATGCACAAACCAGACTCCAACAGAACTGAAAAGACAGATGACTCCACAATCATGGTAGGAGACTTTAATACACCACTTTCAATCACAGATGGAACACCTAGAAAAAACTCAACAAGTACACTGAAGAACTAAACAATACAGTCTACCAGCTTGACCTGATAGACACTTCTGTACAACAGCACAATATACATTCTTTTCCAGTGCATATGGAACATTCTCCAGGATAGACCATATGTTAGGCCACAAAGCAGGCCTCAATAAATTTAACAACATTGAAATACCACAAAACATCTTCTCAGATCACAATGCTGTAAAATTAGAAATCAACAATAGGAAGATAAATGGAAAAGAGCAAACACTTGGAGACTGAATAACACCCTCCTTGAAAATGACTGGTAATAGAAGAAATCAAAAATGAAATTAAAACATTCCTTGAATTAAATGATAATGAAAACACAAAATAGCAAAATGTTTGGGACACAGCAAAAGCAGTGATCAGAGGCCAATTTGTAGCAATAAATGCACACATCAAAAAAGAAGGAGTCAAATTCAACTACTTAACCCACCATCTCCAATAATTAGAAAAAGATTAGCAAAATAAATAAAAATAACAAACAGTCACAAGAAGAAAAGAAATAAACAGAAAATAGAAGGACAATAGAAAACATCAGCAAGATTACAAATTGGTTCTTTGAAAAGATTAATAAAATTGACAAACCACTGGCAAATTTAACAAAAAAAAGAGGAAGAGAATACAAATAACATGAATAAGAAATGAGTTGGGCGACACCAGAACAGAACCAACAGAAATTAAAGGATAATATCGGGATATTATGAAGAATTATACTGCAACAAATTTGAAAATCTAGAAGAAATGGACAGATTTCTAGAAATACAATACTTAACTAAGCTAACACAGACTGAGGTGGAAAATTTGAACCCATAACAAAAGAAGAAATTGAACAGGTGTTTTGGTTACCTAGTACCTCCCTGACAAGAATATACCACAAATGAGATGTCTTGAAGAAACAGGAGTTTATTCTCTTACAGTTTGGAGGCTT